TTATCCGCGAGACTGACGGAATTATATTCTGTTTTATCGTTGCAGTTTCGTATTTATATCTTGTATATACATTTCGCTCTCGACGTCTGGCATTTGTCGCACATTCTCATCATATACATATGCCTATAGTCCTTCATGCTCGGTTAACGCACGCAGATACGAGTTTAACGGGAGAGGTTAAAAGCTTGGAGCCGCGTAAAAATTTTAATACGAATAAACTCACGCAGAGAAATCAGAAAATTATCAGAAAATTTACGATAGGAAGCCAAAAAGCATACATATGCTTTCCGAACAAGAAGCGATGTTTAATGATAAACATAATTCAAACATTGTTCATTATTAACTAATCTTATTATATACGCTCAATTGACCACACCTTTGTATTTCTAGATTAAAAACTAGAAATCAGCATAGATCAAAACAAAAGGACTAATAAGCGCATAAATTCTTCGCTGGCTTAGCCAAACAAACACTGCTCATGCCAGTGGCAGTTCATAAAATTTTCACGGCGCAGGTGTGATGAGTTTAAAGCTATACGTGCAAATGTGCGCGATGTGGCATTTCATGCACTTATGGACTTTTGCACTATCGAAAGAATTATATATACCTCAATAAAAATATTACAGGGAAGCACAAATTATGGATACGGTATTTTAATATGAGACACGAGATATGGATTGTAACAACTTTGATATGTATAATACGTTCAACCCATTAAAAAATAAAGTTTATGAAAAATACGCATAGAGTTCGTTTATCGCTATTTTAATATTTTCACCAAAGTTATAGTAAATTGCACGGCTGCGGTCTCCACTTTAAGCTTGGCCCGTTATTACCAATCGTGAATTAGACAGCCACAGACACTGTGGCACCACACCGTGGCACTGTCACTGCCACACTGGCACTGCATACCCAGAGCGTGACAACAGCTATTGCCTGCTTCCTAGCTGGCACCAACACATTTTCTGCGAGGCGCTCTGCATAAATTAGGAAGTAAAAAACATATTTTTGTTGTAGAGGCGACATACTGGCAGCCATAAACACTACTGTATTATGAATTGTTGGGTTAACGTTAGTCTAGAGTTGAACGAGAAAAGAGATTTGAGTTCAATTGGATAAAAATCGAAGGTGGGAAGTGAGTATACAGGGAGTATAGTTGAAACACGAAAAATCGACCATCAATACAAGGTCTTGGGAGTAGAATAAAGTTATAAACATTATATGTCATTGTGAAAGGAACGGTGAAACTCACGTAGCTTTACGACAAGGAGTGCGGTGAAACTCACGTAGCTTTACGACAAGGAGTGCGGTGGAACTCACGTAGCTTTACGACAAGGAGGACGGTGGAACTCACGCAGCTTTACGACAAGGAGGACGGTGGAACTTACGACAAGGAGTGCGGTGGAACTCAAGCAGCTTTACGACAAGGAGTGCGGTGGAACTCACGCAGCTTTACGACAAGGAGTGCGGTGGAACTCACACAGCTTTACGACAAGGAGGACGGTGGAGCTCACGCAGCTTTACGACAAGGAGGACGGTGGAACTCACGTAGCTTTACGACAAGGAGTGCGGTGGAACTCACGCAGCTTTACGACAAGGAGTGCGGTGGATCTCACGCAGCTTTACGACAAGGAGGACGGTGGAACTCACGTAACTTTACGACAAGGAGTGCAGTGGAACTCACGCAGCTTTACGACATGGAGGACGGTGGAGCTCGCGCAGCTTAACGACAAGGAGGACGGTGGAACTCACGTAGCTTTACGACAAGGAGGACGGTAGAACTCACGTAGCTTTACGACAAGAAGTGCGGTGGAACTCACGTAGCTTTACGACAAGGAGTGCGGTGGAACTCACGTAGCTTTACGACAAGGAGTGCGGTGGAACTCACGTAGCTTTACGACAATGACACGGAGTGCGGTGCAACTCACGTAACTTTACGACAAGGAGTGCAATGGAACTCACGTAGCTTTACGACAATAATGGCGGTGAAACTCACGTAGCTTTACGACACGGAGTGCGGTGAAACTCACGTAGCTTTACGACACGGAGTACGGTGTACTACACATGGCTTAAAAAAAAGAATAATTGAAAAGATATTACTTTACTACAGTATAAATTGTTATGAATAAAATCCACGCAAACAACAAAGCAGCAGAATTGTACGCAATCAAAATTCAAATCCACCTTGAGCTTCTTTAAACCAACTCATTTGCATCAGCACAGAAACCAACAAACATGCGGCCCGAGACAATACATGTCTAACATGACAAAGCTGAATTTACTGGGCAGTAAATTACCAATACTAGTAAAACATCGTAACTAAACCGTGAATAATATATGATAGTAGCTTGAATTCCGAACCCAACTGATTTACGTCACGGGGAAGTGTATTACTACTAGTACTAGTAGTGCAATAAGATCAAAACATAACGGAATAAGCATTTCCAAAATCTAAAAAAAAAATTCTCGTGCAACTCATTTATTTATTTAAGATCGCTGGTCCAAAGTTATCATATCGTGCATAATCAGCTGATTGACGCGATAGAGAAAAATGGCATATCTGCGACCAGACAAGAAATTAGGATTTAGGAGTTCGGACATTGTAGCCACTAGCAGTCATGAACGTACAATACCGTACACGCCTAAAATCTTTCGAGTCCGTCAGTCACAGTTAGTCGACGTACCTACTTAATTTTGCTTGAATTTTTATTATTAAAGTGTAAATGCTAAATTAAAATTGATGGTGTGAATTGACAGTTTCAATCAGAGATTATACGAGTTATTTTTTTTTTCGGCGTACCATTAAACAAATAGGAAGAGGGTAACAAGGAAAAACAGTTGTCACTCACCCAAATCTTCCATTGTCAACGCTGAAGCCTGAACAAAAATATGTATCAAGCAGGAAAAAACGACGTGAACGTGCGATTCAGTTCAGTAAATGTTAAGTTACAACACACGCTTATAATATTGTAAAGTCAAGAACGCATCACCGGTTAATTTTTACAAATACTGCATCACTTCCTAATATGGCGACCGAGTTCCACAGCTTCCATTCATACTGTACGATCAGCTGATTGGAAAGTCGGAGAAACAAATTTAAGGGAGAATTTTTCTGAATTGCTCTGTATGGCGTGAGCATTTCTATATTTTATCAAATATTGTGTAAGTATCTATAATTATCTGTGCACGAGAATATATTTATGTTTACCGTGGGGCGAGAAGCAGCTATTTTATAAAAAACTTTGGTTGTTCGTTATTAGCTTAGTTGTTTGTAAACATTGCACACCGCTTGCGGCATGCCTTCTTTCACTATAATCGTGATGAAGAAAGTCACTTGCGTTCACGGCAATAGCACGTGTGTGGATTGCGATCTGCAAAGTATTGGATAAATTTGTGATTCGAAATCTCTTAGTTTCTTGTAAGAAATTATCACTTTAAGTATTTCCTCATAAACCCGACTGGCTTTCTCTCCCACAGGCCACAGAGACTGCTGACTGAGTCTGAAACTGAAAGCAGAGATTTTTTAAATCTCTTCTTCAAGTTCATTATTGAGTCCTACAAAGTACAAGTAGACCTGTAAAGTATCACGGATACCACTCCAGCATTATCATACATAAGACAGTTTATAGCTATAATCCTGAGTGGTTTGCCAGTCTGCCTTGTTCAAGTTTTTTTCCTAATTTTCTTAATTTATTTCAATTGGCTGACCATGCTGATGACTGATGTCTGTTCCACATGAAAGATTGGCCCAACTGTGGTGCTTGGAAAAACAGAGGCTTGTGTTGGACGTTGGAGAAGCAGGAAGCTGACAATGCCTGACAGGCTGACTGACATCGTGACATGATATGACAATAATGAATAATGCCAATTGCCAACTATTGCTGACTGCCGAGGCTAGTCTGGAAAAGTCCTATTTTTGTCTGAAATATCGCAGTTCTAATATCATATAATTTCAGTAGGTATGAAATCTCGCGGCTCTGAAAAATTCAGTCGCGGCTTGCCAAGTAGATATATTCCATACTAGTGCCGAGGTCACTGATAGAATGGAATAGAAGTGTCGGCACTGAAGAAATAGGCCCTTGGCTTGTTGTCAATTCTTGAATTTTTTGTGACTTGATTCACAAGGAATCTGGCCTTTGTAACCAAATCTTTCCATAACTGACAGTTGATTGAGATAGCGGCTGGACTTATTGCCTGGTCCGTAACTTGCTAACCATTTTAAGGCTGAACATATGCTCCTGCATAGCTTTGTCTAGTCTGTTCTTGTTGTGGTCATTGTGGTGCCACACTGCCACAGTTGTAAAAGACTGACTGTGAGTGCAAGAGCTTCTTCAAAGCAGCCCCTGTGGCTGTGCAGGCCTGTCAAGCTGTCATTGTTGCTGTTAATGTTCCTTGAGTCCCAGTCATGCCTGAAAACCTGCGCTGCACAGGAAAGCTGGCACCTAAGCCAGTGCTCCCCAAAACTGGGTGATGGATATTGTGACAGCCCGTAGCCTGGGTGCTCAAGTAGAAGATGTCTGATGGTGTGGCCCGTGGGACGGTGGGAGAGTGCATGACATTGGAGACACAAGTGCAAATGTGTGCTGTCCAGGCAGTGTTTGTACAAGTATAGAGAGCTAAATGAGGGATATTTCTGATAGTTTGGCTTTTTATAACTAACCTCTTGTTCAGATTGGTACCGTACCCCATTTTCCCTGAGTTTATTTTTACTTGTGTCATATATCAAATTTCAAAATGCTGGCTACTATTTTGTAATAATTGTAAATTTATTACCCATGTATATCTATAAGTCAAAACTAGATGAATTGAAATTTAAAGTCAGTCATGTTTTTTTTCATATATTTGCTAATTTTGATTAAGTGCTATGAAAGGGAAATTCCAATTCTATTTACATATAGTTATCTTTCTCAGTTATATGGTTCGTTTCAGAACCTTAGAAAAAATATTTATATTCATTCCTTAACTTCAAAAAGTAACCTTCATGTTTCTCTTCAGGGAGGCAAGAGACTGTTGTTATATATGTGATTGTCAATATTTTCTTCAATTAGTTAATATATCTGAAGATATTTCATATTTTATCCAAGTTGATCAATCTGAAAAGTTATTGCATCATTTTGTATAAAGTAAATTTCCTCTTCAAATGGATGACCTATCATCTTCTGAAATCTACCAATTTGCAGATGCAAGAACAATTCCTGATCCAATTTTTCCATATACAGAAAATTTGAATGGAATTCCTATTGTTATTGACAATGGTAAGGACTAGGCTTGATGCTGAGCTTTTAAATACCACCTAGATAGAGAAGTCAAGTTACTGAGTATTTCCAAATCCTTATAACCTCCAAAACTTTTTTTTTTTTTCATTCAAAAAATGAGTGCATATAGGACAATAACCCCACCCAAGATTATTGTTGTGTAAAATTACTGTATAGTGTGAATGATAAGAACCATTAAATGTATAGTGTGTACCGGTATGATAAGACACACTATATAGTATATACTGTAAAGTGTGAATGATAAGAACCATTAAAGCTTGTACAATATGTTTGTTATAACATTATGGAATGAATCTGTTTATATTTCTATCTTGCTTTAGATGAGCATAATTTTCTGATGAAATCAGTGACAAAAGAAAGCAATCAGTTGAATTATATACCTAATTCAAGATTGTGTGGAAATAGTTATTTGGCTTAACAAAGTATATAGTATACCTATCCTAAAGGCAGGAAAATTACATTTAGCAAGAAATTTTCATAATAAAAGCCTAATCTAAAATTATTATATTTCTGGTATCCTATTGTATTTTTTGTACATTGCTGATTTGTTATTATTTTGTCATAACTAATATTATGTGAATTTCAGGGTCCTTTCAATGCCGAGTTGGCTGGGCAACTCAAGACGAGCCATGTCTCCAATTCAGGAATTGTTATGCCAAGCACAGGAAGGACAGGGGCAAAAAAATGCCTGCAACTGTGAGTGACGCAGTTATTACATTTTGAATGCAATTGCTATAGTTATACATTATTTTGTGTATATTGGATATACAAGTATTCAATAAATTAACCACTCTTGAGTTGTAAAGAATTTCTTCTTGCTGCAGTTACTTGGCATGGTATATATGATTTCTCTGAGTTATTTGGTATTTTAAAATTTAGATAAAAAGTTAGACCATTACCTATATTTCATTTCCATGGGTCTTCATTGATTTTCAAAGCTGGTATTGAAAAAAAGCAAAAAAATTAAATAAGGCCATTTAAATAATCTTACTAGAGTTCTTTTAAAAAATACGCCAATAAAAATGTAATTAATATATTATGATTCTTAGTTTTTATCAAGTTCCTTAAAATATGTAGCTTTTCATTCATATCAAAAACTAATTCTTTGAATGGAATAATTTGGAAACCTGAATTTTGCAATGTCAGTTAACAAGAACTTATTGACTAACAAAGAAATTAGAAACAAATGAAAGTACCTATAATATTTTATGGAGATATCATTTTGATTCCTTACAGAACATTAATACTCATTGAGTGAATGTTAAGTTTTATGTAGTTACACCTTTTATTCTTCATTAGCATTTCTGTTTCTGTAAATTTTAATCTTGCCAGTTGTAATGATGTAATGATTCTGTTGAATTGCATCTTTGAAATAAGAGACTATAATTTTCAGCAATATTGAATTTTTTCAGACGGAATTACTTGTTGGCAATGACATCAGCAACTTGGAGGCAGTTCGGTTCCAGCTCAAAACTGCTCATGATGAGAACGTTGTATCCCACTATCAGGTTTGATGATTCATCATTTACGTATACCTACTGTCATTTTGATTAAAATGTGGAATGTTGCATACTATTTCGACATAAATGTGAAACAAAGCTGTCTGACTGTAATATTATTCAGTACAATTGCTAGTTTATTTAGATGAGGGGACATACCGGTACTACTCAAGTATTTCAATTTACAGTTTGCACTATAAATTTCTCACTCACTATGCAAGAGTTGAGATACAGGAACAAACTTAAAAAGTCCACTGAAGTTATCAGTACTTTTAATTTATTTACTGTTATATTTTTGAAATGTCATAAATAATAATCTTATATAAAAATATCTTTAAATGTTATTCTGAAATTTGATTGTAATGCAGGCCCAGGAATTACTGCTGAATTATTCATTCAGCCACTTGGGTATCACTGACAGCTCTGGCATCCAGCATCCCATCGTGATGACAGAACCGCTGCTCAACCCCCAACACTGCAGAGCATGTCAGACTTTATGATTGCATTCGGCTTTGACACTAGAACTTTTCTTCAATATTTGAAGGAAACTTTTGTTGTCAATAGTTCCTATATATTTATCTTTGTACAGCTTTTATGTTGGGATGAAGTTGAGCTGTGGGATTAGGAAAATGGTTGCAGTCTGTTCGACTTGCATGTAAAATAGATGCTCAGAAAGCTAAAATTTCCTGTGCACCAAATTGTTTTTTTAACATTTTCCAATATATTTACTTTGATGACAGGATCTCATATGAAAAATGGTTTACTTTTAATTACACTATTATGAAATATTCTCTGAGAAAAATTGTGCAAACTAAAAGAATTTTACTTGTGGATGGAAGAATCGAATGAGTTAACTGGAATTTAATTTGAAATATGCCTTTGTTTTAAAATATGATATAAATATTGGATACACACATCCTCATTGCATCTTAGAAAAACTGATTAGCCTACATATTTTTTAAAGTGATGTCAGAGCTGCTGTTTGAATGCTACAACGTCCCTTGTGCAGCCTACTGTGTTGATGGCCTAGCAAACTACTATCACAATCAAGGTCTGCTGCGTCTATCATTGTGTACAGACAAACTTCTGCTTGTTGTACTTTTTGTAAGGCTAGTTTTGTGCTCAAGTTGTTGCCAACATTATTGTGTTGAACTATACTTTTGTCCTAAAGATACAAATTTAAATTTAGTCTTCATTTCTGTACTAGGAAGTGATTGAGAAAAAAAAACATTTATCCGACTTGCCTATCAACTAAATGGAAGTCTTCCATTTATCCTGCTAAAATTTTGCAATTAAATATCTGGAAATATACCTATGTATTTTAATAAAGTAAAAAAATTGACTTCATTCGGCCTTAGTTTTTTAAACTACTATTTATGAATAGGTACCTAGTCTTGAGGATTATGTTTTGAAAGATTTGCTAAAATAAGATTAAATATTGCCTGAAACTCACAGAAGCATCGAGCAGTTCGGGCCTACAAGATGGACTTTTGGTCCACATCGGACATCACACCACACACGTCATCCCCATCCTGGACGGCGGCGCTGACGTGGCAAAATCACGACGCATTAAAGTCGGCGGCCACAGCCTGGCCAAGTTCCTGTGCAGGTAGAAATAACATACCAGACGCATTAAAGTCGGCGGCCACAGCCTGGCCAAGTTCCTCCGCTGTTGGTTAATTTCGTTTTATATTTAGTGTTTCTTTTTATCCCTTTGACAGCGGACGGTATTTTTTGCTTCAGGCCATTTAACATGAACTTCATTGAATATGATAAATGTGGCTCAAGAGATTCACCATTCAAAATCACTTGAAACTCCTATTTTCTCCTACAATTTATGTGTGTAATTCTTTATGTAAATTTGTTATCATTTTTAACCGTTTGGGGTTCCATTTTCTCATGATATTCATCATCATTTTTATATTCTCCTGTCACATGGATGTTTAGTTTACTATCAACTCCCCCAGAATAATTACTAATGGTAAAATTTTTATAATAAAATTTCCTTTCTCAGGTGGCTGCAGCTGCAGTATCCTCATCAGGCCAGCAACATCACCCTGTCCAGGGCCGAGGTTTGTATCCTCAGTGTGTATCCTCACACTTTGTATCCTCAGTTTGTATCCTCACTCTTTGTATCCTCACACTTTGTATCCTCACACTTTGTATCCTCACACTTTGTATCCTCACACTTTGTATCCTTACACTTTGTATCCTCACACTTTGTATCCTCACACTTTGTATCCTCACACTTTGTATCCTCACACTTTGTATCCTCACACTTTGTATCCTCACACTTTGTATCCT